ATTGCCCCCTCTCCCCAGATGGCAGCCTGCGGTAAGTGCAGCCGGGCTGATGGCCGAGTGGTGTGATGTGCCCAGTGTGGGTACTCCAGGCACTCCAAGCCAGGACTGCTTTGCAAGCGGGGCACCCCTTAGAACTGTCTGTCCGGGGTGGGGATCGGGACCCTTTAAGCACAGCCCTCGGCTAGCTTGAGACAGCATCTCCACGCTCTAAGTTCTCCTCTGATGCCCTGCCGGCACTGCTTCCGGCCATCCTTAAGCCTGGTTCAGGGTCCACTTAATGTGGACATGCTAGTTCGAATTAGCAAAACGCTAATTCGAACTAGTTTTTTAGTCTGGATCCGTTAGTTCGAATTAGCTTAGTTCAAATTAACTAATTCGAACTAAGTTAGTTCGAATTAGCGCTGTAGTGTAGACATACCCTGATAGAGTTGCACTGAAACACTGCTCCCGCAGTCTGTCATGCTGATTGAGATAGTCTTGTTGTTTCTTTGTATTCCCTTATCTGTCTGTACCCATCTGTTGACTCTTGACTTATATTTGCACTTTGGGGCAGGAACCGTGTTACTATTCTGTGTCTGTACAGCAGCTAATACTGGTGTGGTGCTTCTAGGTGCTACACTAATACAAATAATAATAATTAATAATCATTCACCCCCAACATGTATACTAGTTCCATTTATAATTCAGGGACTCTAGCTGGTTACTCGAGTCCCAGATGAGCAGCATCTGATAGCAGGAAATGAGGGATTCACAGACCTTTTGCAGTGTTGTAATCTTTAATGTAGGTAGTAGATAATGTGCAAAGCAAGTAGGGCTTCATTTTTTTTCTGGAACATAAATGCAGCTATAGAGCTGAGTTAGCGGATAGCAGGGCCAGGCTTCAGGTTTAGTAGCTGCCATGACACTATGTGGACAATCTCAGGCACAAAATTCATTTTACAACTTGAAAGGGAAGAAACTCCAGGCACAGGTTTAGCACTCCATCAGTTGCCTTAACACTCATGCTTCCCAAAGCAGACCAGGACTCTGTCCAGCCTTTCTGGGGTATGCTTGTTTTGCTTTTGTTTTGGGGCAATACAAAGCTGTCATTTGCAGCCTGAAAAGGATGTATCCAATGTGTAAGGATCTTTGGGTGGTGTGGTACTCCAATACCACTCCATCCCTACAACCAGTGCAGAAGACATGGTTGGGGAAAGAAGCTGGATGTTGTGGGCACATCCCAAACTCTTGCAATCCCTGATTGCCAGAATGAGCCCTTAGGCCATTGCCAGCAAACACATCTTAGAGCATCCTTAGTCTACAGTAATTTGTGATGAGGAAATCAGAACAGCATAGATTAGTCCAGGATCAGAAGAATGCAAAGATGCTACCTTTGCAATCTCCTCCTGAATGGTACAACGTGCTTCATAGCCATACCTCAGGATCTGGTGCACGACTGTATGCTACAGTCTGGATCAATGCTCTGAGATCAATCCACCAGCAATCAATTTAGCAGACCTGCCAAATTAACCACAGGTTTGCCCCTCTTCCCCCTCCCTCCCCCGCATTAACCCTGTTCACTACTCTAGATGAGGAGAGTGAGGGGAATTGATGGGAGAGTTTCTCCCATTGACCCACCCGCAACGTAGACTTCGCATTAACTTGACATAAGATTTGTTGACTCCAGTTATATTATTCACATAGCTGGAGTTGCACAGAATCATAGAACCATAGAGCTGGAAGAGACCTTAGAAGGTCATCAAGTCGAGCCTCCTGCCCTATGCAGAACCAATCCCAATTAAATCAACCCAGCCAGAGCTTTGTCAAGCCAAGACTTAAACACCTCTAGGGATGGAGACTCCACTACTTCCTTAAGTAACCCATTCCAGTGCTTCACCACTCTCCTAGTGAAATAGATTTTCCTAATATCCAACCTGGACCTCTCCTGCCACAACTCGAGACCATAGCTTAAGTCGACTTTCTGCTGTAGTGTAGATGTAGCTTCATAAGAGCATGGATAGGAACAGTCATATTGTTATGTGCATCTGTATGCATTAGGCTAGTTTAGTATTTTGTTTGTTAGATTTCAGAAATATTAAACAAGCAAAAAAACCAATTTATTCTGTTATCATTTGATTAAAAACAGATGAAGGCACTATAAGGATTGTATTTTACTAGCAGTGGGCTTCCTTTTTTCATTCCAGGAATATGAGTGCCTTGAACAAGAAAATACCTCCCTGAAAAGAGAGATTGGGAAGCTAACAGATGAGATGAAACATTTGAGCGATGTGTTGAAGGATCATGAAAAGATCTGTCCTTTATTGCACTGCTCCATGAACTTTGTGACCATACCCAGGCCTGATGCCCTCACCAGCTGCCTGCCAAGATGAGAGTTCCTCCTTATTGCCTTTAAATGCTGGTTATTATTGAACATAAGTGGGAGAAATGTAAAGATCCATCTTCTTTTTCTCACCACAATGTAGGTATATCCTTCCTCTTGCAGAGGGATGAAATTATCTAATTGGCCTTTACGTCTCTGTCTTCTGAATATTATGAAAAGGTCAGTGTGGGGAGAATAAGATTGAGTTGCAATTTATTTTCTAGAACCTATAATATCTTGTTTCTTATTCATAAATGGCAAAATATGATACAATCTGCTTTTACAGGATGGAAACTGGAGAAAAATACTCTGGGCTAGGATATGATTTTCCCCATACTCTGCTGACTATTATTTCTGAATTGTTAGGTTGTCATCCATATATCTTACATAAAATATCCTGGCTGCTCATTTTTTGTTTACATGGGGGTTTGTCTAATAAAATCAATGCATTTTCTTTATCTTTATGGTGTCCCCACCTTTTTCGATATCCAATGCCTTTTGAACATCTTTACATTTGCTCATTTGTCAAATCCAAAGTCTAATGCTAATCTCCCTGCTTTCCATGTGTCTTATTATTTGCTTATCACTAGCTTCCCAGGATGTTTGAAAAGTTTTATTGGTTTCCCTTCTAAAGCTTGTATAACAACTGAGTGTAGATCATCTTCACTTCCCTAATCACCAGCACTCAAACCATTAATCCTCAAAGAATTTTATTCCCATTCTTGTATAAAGTGTGTCCACTTTCCATGGAATAAATGCAGAACAGGCAGTTTGGGGTTCACATTCATCCAAAGAGCAAAGCCATTGTATCCAGTAGAATTATACAAGGGGGAATTCCCTTTGTTTTTTATTGTTTTGTGGTTGATTTGTATGTTTTGTAATTTATTAATTGTCCTTTCCCCATTATCCATTGCACATGTAGGACTAGATTCACCTGGGAGACTTAGGTGCCTACCTGCTAGAATGTGGGAGACCTAGGTTCAAATCACTGCTGTACTGCCTCCTGTCTCCACAGGGGAATTGGTGGCATGGTAGGTAGATAAAAGATTGGCTACAGGTTGGAGATTTGCCTGACTTTTCAGCTGCTAAACAACCAGCTGGCTGCAATGTGAGCCTCCATCCAGCAGGGGAACCCTTGCACAGTCTGACCAGAAGTTACAGGTATCTAGGACAGGGAACTGCGTGGGAAGGGGTTGGCTTCTGAGGAGTAAGAGGTCTCCTGGAGCTGAGCTGCCTGGGACCCAGGTTTTCTCGGGTGTGACCTCCTCTGGGAAGATTTTTCAAGTAAGAGACAACGTCCAGGATGGTTTGTTGTGGAGCAGGTGTGGTCCCTCCCTGGCATCTGCAGATGCTACATCCTGCTCGCCCTGGCCTGGCCTGCCAGGTAAATGGAGCTGCCAAGATACCAGCCCCACCATAGGGCCTCAGCCTGTCTGACAGGGACAGGCTCTTGTTCCCTGCCCTGGAGAGTGGGAGAAGCCTACAGAGAGATGCTATCTGACAGGCTGGTGCTGCATCTTGAGCCTAGGCCAGCTGCCCTGCCACATGTCCCTCTCCCCCAGCACACACAGCTCTCCAATACCCTCCAAATATCACCTCCCAGCACATATGTACTCCGCCCCCCCAGATTCTCCTTTGGCACCTACATATACCCCCCTCTTAATACACATACACTCCTCCAGTACCTCCAAATATTCTTTCCAGCATCTTCAAATACCCCCTCCAAATATATGTACACTCCTCCATTACCTGCCAAATCCCCCCTCCAGTTTCCTCTTCTCCTCCATAACCCTCCAACAGCGTTCTCTGTTTGGGAACTTGAAATATGGTAACCCTCTGCCAAGGTAAAGCCCTCACCCTGGCTTTCCAATAACACTAGCCTATGTTCGTTCAGCAATCATCCAAATACAAATGAGCAGGAACTCTGATTTTAAAAGCCAAGTCAAAGAGTCAGGCCATGGTTCTCTCTGTGACACACACCAAAATAGACCAAGCTATATCATATCAAATTGTTTCTGCTCATATGAATTACAATGAAGTAGTAATGGCTGCTTCATTGTCACTATTTGCTACTCTTGTCCAAAAGTGGAGATGTTTATGAAGGGCATTACAAGTGAACATTTGAGTCTTCCTTTGGCATTTATTTTAGTATGGAATTCAGAGACAGAATAATAGACTCCTGAAAATGTAAGCCTGGAAGGGATCTCAATAGGTCATCCACTGTAATCCATATACTCAGGCACAGCTAAGTATATTTAACCATCCCTGTCAGGTATTTGTCCAAACTGTTCTTTAAAATTGCCAGTGGTGGGGATTCCACCACTTCCTTGGAACTATTATATTCATTATCTAGAAAAGCAAAAAGCACAGTAAGTGATAGACCAAGTGGGCTCTTTTTCCAGCTCAAGCAACGAGGAGTCCTGTGGTACCTTATTTTTCCAGCTCAGTTACCAAAGTTTGTATGATATTGTTGACCTTGATGTTAAGACATCATCCTCATATTTAATAATAAAATGGCATTTTACCAAAAATGTTGGTGACTAATATTCAAAGGCTTTCAAATATCTTAACAAATTAGTTAAAATGAGCAATATATCACAAATAAAATCTGCATTGCTGTCTATGTATAGTTTGATGCTTGAGTCTTCACATCACAAGAAGGGAGCTGAGCTAATAAAGCACAGTCTCACATCAGCTAAATAAAAACATCAACATTAGGGCTATCCTTATTACAGTAATTGAATGAAATGTATAGAGTATAAGTTTGAAATGTATTTCAAAATACGTTTATTCTAGAGTCTGAGACAATACCATTACAGTAGAACAAAAAGAAAGAACAAAAAGGAAAAGGTTCCTTTGGAAACTAAGTGTCTAGACAGCACCCTTCTGTCAGAATAAGTTATGCAATTTGCGCTATTCAAATTGTGTAGCTTATTCCTAGTCTAGATCGAAAGAGCTTATTTTTGGAATGAGCTGCCGGAATAGCGTGCCCACTATTTTGGAAATAGCAGGCGCTTTTAAAGACGCAATGTTCTAATCTATTAGGGTTCTTTGAAGGGGTTAATAAACATACAGACAAAGGGGATCCAGTGGATATAGTATACTTTGATTTTCAGAAAGCCTTTGACAAGGTCCCTCACCAAAGGCTCTTGTGTAAATTACATGGCCATTGGATAAGAGAGAAGGTCCTTTCTTGGATTGAGAACTGATTAAAAGATAGGAAACAAAGGGTAGGAATAAATGGTAAATTTTCAGAATGGAGAGGGGTAACTAGTGGTGTCTCCCAAGGGTCAGTCCTGGGGCCAATCCTGTTCAACTTATTCATAAATGATCTGGAGAAAGGGGTAAGCAGTGAGGTACTAAAGTTTGCAGATGATACCAAACTGTTTAGGATAGTCAAGACAGAAGCAGACTGTGAGGGACTTCAAAAAGATCTCACCAAACTGAGTGATTGGGCAACAAAATGGCAAATGAAATTTAATGTGGATAAGTGTAAAGTAATGCACATCGGGGAAAAATAACCCCAACTATACGTACAGTATGATGGGGGCTAATTTGGCTACGACAAATCAGGAAAGAGATCTTGGAGTTATCGTGGACAGTTCTCTGAAAACTTCCACAGTGTGCAGCGGCGGTCAAAAAGGCAAATAGGATGCTAGGAATTATTAAGAAAGGGATAGAAAATAAGACCCAAAATATCTTACTGCCCCTGTATAAAACTATGGTACGCCCACATCTTGAATATTGTGTACAGATGTGGTCTCCTCACCTCAAAAAAGATATTTTGGCCTTGGAAAGGGTTCAGAAAAGGGCAACTAAAATGATTAGGGGCTTGGAATGGGTCTCATATGAAGAGAGGTTAAAGCAACTGGGACTTTTCAATTTAGAAAAGAGGAGACTGAGGGGGGATATGATAGAGGTATATAAAATCATGAGTGGTGTGGAGAAGGCAGATAAAGAAAAGTTATTTATTAGTTCCCATAATAGAAGAACTAGAGGACACCAAATGAAATTAATGGGTAGCAGGTTTAGAACTAATAAAAGAAAGTTCTTCTTCACACAGCATGTAGTCAACCTGCGGAACTCCTTGCCAGAGGAGGCTGTGTAGGCTAGGACTATAACAGAGTTTAAAGAGAAGCTAGATAATTTCATGGAGGTTAGGTCCATAAAAGGCTATTAGCCAGGGGATAGAAGTGGTGTCCCTGCTTCTGTTTGTCAGAGGCTGGAGAAGGAGGGCAGGAGACAAATCGCTGATCATTGTCTTCAGTCCACCCTCTCTGGGGCACCTGGTGTTGGCCACTGTTGGTAGACAGGCTACTGGGCTAGATGGACCTTTGGTTTGACCCAGTACAGCCCTTCTTATGTTCTTGCTATTTCGGGATGCTTCCACTATCCCAAAACAGCAACACAGTCTAGATGTATCCTAAGAAACAAAAATATATAAAATCAAAACCTCCTTCTTTGGAGCTGACTAACATACTATTGCAATATATATTTTAAATCTGTGTATGGGCTAAATGTCCTGCCTTAGCTAGCCATAGCCTAGCTTTCGAAAACTTCCAAAAGATTTTATTTGTTCTCTGTGAATTTGAGCTATTTTGTTTTCCAATGTATGGTATATGTGAGGGATGCATATGTCAGACCTGTGTTGCTTTCAGTTTATGACATAGATCAAGGTCACCATGTAGTCATAGCCTTGCAGTATATGGTTGTACAATATATGTGAGGGTTGCCATCTGAATTTTATTTTGGTTTTTGAATGCACAGTGAAGTTTGCTATTTGTACACATTTGGTTGTTATTGTTTTGAGTCTTGTATATTCTATTTACTACAGTGAAGAAGCAAAATGTATGATGCTCAAGTCTACAAACGTTTTAAAAAAAACCACTCACCAATTGGGCACAGTAACCCAATTGGGCTCACCAATAACCAATTGGGCACAATCCAACATTGTTTTTCTGTTAATTTCAGTGATGTCCAGAATTACTGAAGTCTCTCTGAAAGCCAATTTTAGCCTTCAGAGGTGAAAGACAATAGAAGTCAAGGTTTCTGAAACCTTTAATTTGATTATACTAAACATTGACTCTGTATCATGAGCTAGATATTTGAAGAGAAAGAAAGAAAGGGTAACTACTTATTCCATTGCTCCCCCATATGTACATTTATGAATATTTACAACCTTCTAGCTGAGATTTCAGTGCAGCTTGTCACTGACTGCTCCAGAAGGTGATAGGGGCATGCGATGGTTCAGTCCATATTGTGTAGAATTCAGCAACAAAGATTGTCACTCAGAATTCCATAATGAACTAAAGTCTTTGATTTCCATTTTGAAGTTGTTATTATGTTGTTTATTGACAGGCGGGGAATGTGATCACCAAAAGTGACACTTAGTGTAAGTCATATTACAAACTCCATTTACCTTCTTATCAGATGCAGAGCTTGTCAAACCAATATGCAGCAGCCTAATCAGTAAAGTGCAGAACTCCTTGTATAGCAATTTTGGTTGACTATATATGTTCTTGAAAGTTTCATCATGTGACAATTAAAAATTAATCTTTAAATCTTGGAGATACCAGTACAATCCTGAAGGCTCGGCAACCCTCAGTGTTGTGTGATATTATCAGCCTTTGACCACAGCCACACATGGGATTCTTTCATTGCCATGAAGGCCCATTCAACAGGGGATTCAAAAGGGCCCATGAGTAGCATGGCAAATCAAAGCCAGGGACACACATCATTGGGTCAGTTATAACAGAGTGGTTTCTGACATCAGCTCTGTTGCAGAATGTTCTTCAAACTACATTGGCAAAGGCCAGTTTTCTGGCCAAACTACAGCATTGTTCCATCTATATACATTTCTGGAGTTTGGTTTTGAAATCATGGGCCTAATTTATTATCCCACTGACTTCAGCGGGGGCTTTCTCTCTCTACAGGAAAGCTGGAGAGTCAGGAGAAACATCCCTGAGCCCTTACATCTACACCACAGTTTTACAACCCTCCAGCCTAAGTCCCATGAACCTGAGCCAGCTTACTTGGCCTGCCGAAAGTGTTTAATTGCTGTGTTGACATATCAGCGGTGGCCTGTGAACTAATTAGTTACATTCTTGAATCTTCCCCATCCCTGTGGTATATGAGCACTGCCTTCCCCTGCTAAAAGCCCTGTCCATCAGTCATACCTATAGCTTTGTAAAATCACACCTAGATAGCACTTCTCACCGTTCAAAGCTGAAAAGTGTCATAACTCCTCCTATGGGGAAGTTGGGGGGTGAAGAAAAGGCATCATTGCTTGTAATGTCTGATGTCCCTGGAGTGACATTTCTCTAGCTAATGCAGACTGAAAGTGACAGAAATGTAGCCGTGTTAGTCTGGTGTAGCTGAAATAAAAAACAGGACTATGTAGCATTTTAAAGACTAACAAGATGGTTTATTAGGTGATGAGCTTTCGTGGGCCAGACCCACTTCCTCTGAAGTGGGTCTGGCCCATGAAAGCTCATCACCTAATAAACCATCTTGTTAGTCTTTAAAATGCTACATAGTCCTGTTTTTTATTTCTCTTACCTGAACAGCTCTGCTGGGTAAAAAGAAAGGAAAACCCTTGAGCCTAGTATAATATAAACTGGCATAAACAGTAAGAAAACGATGGAGCATCCAAGGTCAAGGGGACATGGCTCTATCAATTTACATTCACTTCATATTTTGAAAGGTACCAGGAGTCCTAAGAAAATGAAAACTCGTACTCTGAAGAACAACTCTGTTGCAGTGGCTGGGCGGGATAGATTCCCTAACTTGGGAAACATGGAACTGTGCTGATGATACTCTGCTGTACATAACAATATCCTTGTTTTGTTCCTTTTAATGACTCTTCCCTGTACATTTTTTGAGGAGTACAGGATCTTTCAAATCGGGGCATTTCTGTTGAAAATTCCCCATCTAAACTGCCACTTTTTTTTTTTTGAAAAAGCCCTGTTTTGAAAAAAAGCGGCAGCCACCATTATGCAAATGAAGCGCGGAAAATTCAAATCCTGGCTTCGTTTGCAATATCAACGTGCCTAATTTACATCCCTTTACCAAAAAGTCCAACTTTCAGCCTCCATCTAATTTCCAATGTCAAATTTTTGCATCTGCCTATTCCTCTTAATCATGGTTTGCTCCTATTTACCCCTATAACTTTAGTATTTTGTCAATAATTTTGGGAAACAGTTATTCTGAAGTACATAATGCAAAGTAGGTTGTACTCTGTGAAGGCAAATAAACGTGTGAGGTTGGTGTTTGTCAGTGTGAGAACTTGCACCTCCACTCAGTATAGAAATATTTAGAAGTGGTATAACCTTTAGCCTCGAAAACCACAGCGTGCTTCCTGTCCAAAGAGGCAACCGCTCTAGTGCACTGCGCATGGAGTTTCCGTTCGTGAATCAGTCTAGAATTTCTTCCTAAGTGTCTCAGTGAAAGTGATGAATAAAACAAACATAAAAAAAATCCCTTTTCACCTCTTCCCATCAGTGTGGTGGCATCATTCCTGTCACA